GGGGGGGAGACTGCAAAGGGACTTCTCTCAGACATGGGCTGATTACCAAGTCTGTCACACCTAAATCTTCGTAACCATCATTCTCAAATGGATCAAAACATGTAGTAATATACTCCAAACTCATGACAACTAAAGCTCCCTCCTCCAAACCCAAAATTTCCAAAAGCTACCGCAAGGGTTAAAACTAAATGCATAACATTACTACAGGTATCTTCATTTCTTGATAAAAAATTGCAAAAACAGGGTATAGCTTTTAACCATTACATTCATTATGAGCTTTCAGGCATAGAAATAAGTTTTCTAAATAAAAATGTATTGTACGACTTACAAACGTAAATGCCACACACCAAACAATGGGTCATTTCTGGATAAAGCAACCTACAATTAAGCAGTGGAAAAAGAGCCAAGCTCACATTCTGAAATATAATCTGATTAGATGGTGCAGATAGCTATTTAGATTTTCATGCACAAAGGAAGTTGCTTATGCTCTTGACTTTGCTTGATCTGATTCACAAGCGAGATAAAAATCAAACAGTTGTGGACACAATAGGAAGCAGAAAATGCACACTAACTTGACAGAATTAAGAATTACACACAGCCTCAAGAAATCTTCCAAGTTACACAACATTTAGACATGCCACATCAAATCAATACCCCAACCACTTTCCTACATAATTAGTTGCCGATCCAAGTGGACTAGAATTTCCATTGTCTGTTTGATCAGTTGGAATCATGCCTTCAGCTTCTGATTGGTCCAACATCTCATAATCGGACACATCTGATGATACACTCTCTTTCATAACACTCTCAAGTGTTTCTGATGTCTGTAGGTTAACTTGTTCTTTTAAATCCATTGCCTCTTCAGTTTGTTTTGAATGTGTTGGCTTACTGTCCACATGTGATTTTCCAGCTGGTTGAACAACCTCAGAGTCGGATTCTGAATCTCTTTCAATATCTGGAAATTCTAGTCCCCTGATAAAATCGCCTTCCTCAAACTCTAAAGTATCCCCACTCTGACTTATTGATGAAAATTGTAGATTATCCAGAAACACAGCAGAACTGTCAAGACTTGGGCTTTCACCTTCATGTTCTGGAGTATCTTGTGCAGAAGTTCCTTAGGAAAATAGCACAAAAAAAAATTTGGAAACAGTGTAGAAGTACAATACCATTTTCCATAATAATGGAAGTGAAAGTATAAAATAGAAATTATTGATATAAATTATGCTGTGAATTTACCTGGACATACCTGGTAAACAAATGCATTTTTAAAGGAGCACTTCCTTCATGCATGCTATCCTGAGTGACAGCATTCCCAAAAAAAAATCAATTTTTTTAAAGTTGAGTTAATTTAAATCTAACCCACTTCTCACCACAAACTGTTTGCTATATCTACATAATAAATCTTGCAAGCCTTGATTAAATTAAAAAGAGATATCTTGGCTTCAAACTGTGTACACTACCTTCTGTTCCCTGGCTGTCTTTTCTGCTTGTAATGGAACTCAGGCCTTGAGTTATAGCAGATGAAATAAGTCCTTCCAGAAGTTTAACCTCGACCGGTGGTGCTGAGGAAGAGGGTTCCGATTCACTGAAAGCTTCATCTTGTGGAGGGACAAATTTATCTTGATTGCCAACTGTGTCATCAGTAACTGGACTTAAATCCTTTGCAAACTCATCATCACTGTCTGCTGGCATTTCTCCTTTAGTTCCTTTAGAGAATTATTATAATGTCTAGATCAGTTTTGACCCTTTTACTCCCATGAGTGACCAAGACAGAATATCTCCTTACAATATTACGCAGACACAAGATGAGTATAAAGAAAAATATCAATTTAGGGATAATTAGTTGATCCAATACCAAATTCCCTGAACAAACATCTTAAGAATTGTAAATTACAGACAGTGAGGTGAGATCTTGAAAGTGAAAGGGTTAAAAAAAACTTGAAAATATAATAATATTAACTGCCTCCCGGTTAGCTCAATGGATAGAGCGCTGGACTGTTGTGCGGGAGGTTGAGGGTTCGAGTCCCGGCCGGACCAACACTCAAGGTCTTAAAATAATTGAGAAGAATATGCTACCTTTCGACAACATCAAGAAATGGTTAGATATTCTAGCCTTCTCGCATAGGGACGAATAAATGGAGGTCCTGTCTCCTGCAGGGTTAGGGGTAGGAGACATTAATCTACCACACACGAGATTACTGTGTGATGGATGTCCTCCCCTGGGGATGGGTGGGTTGGGGTTAGTTTAGGTGGGTGAACCTAGTAGAGGACTACGTGTCCTATTGTTCTCTCACCTGTACACTGTACAAATCTATAAAAACTCAAAAAAAAAAAAGCTCAATATGATGGTGATAATGGAGGATGATATTGATTCTTTTGGTTTTGAACATAATTGATCTTAGTTTTTGGATTTTAATCCACTCAAAATATATATACAGAAGGCCAAAAAAGTACTGTCTGCAGTTAGTTATATACATTTTTTTTTTTTTTTTTTGCCTTAGCATCTATTGCAGTTTCAAGTGTGTCTGTTTTTTGGTAGTTTGGAGTTTTTTAAACAACTCAGATGACATTAAATCACTTTCAATTGGTTTCCATTAATTATTCTTGGTGGTTTATTTATTTTTGAGTTAGTTTATTCCAGTCTTCAGTTTTTATGGAGATGTCAGCGGGTTGTCTGGTTTCTCCTCTACCACAATACCCCAAAATGATAAACATGTTTGTGCATTAAGAATGTGAAGTTGCAGTCTTCATTTGTCAGACCTGTTGTTGTAGTATCCCTTGTTCTCTTGGTCCTTGTATTTTGCCATTGGACAACAAATGGTCGGTAAAATGGCTCAACTGCCCTCTCCATTCTTATGTGTATTCCATTGTATTTTATAGCAGGCCAAAGGTACAATGCACAAGCTAAAAAAAAACAAAAATACAAAAAAGGGAGAAATACATTTTAAGTTTTTTCAATCTCATTTTAAAATGGAAGAAAAAAGTTCCCACAAAACACAAGTCACTATTTCCTGGAGAACTTCTATATCAGTAACTTGATGTTATTTTGAATCCCTATTGGCTAGTCAAGTGCTGTCAATCAATGTCATGATTACAATCTATTACAATCATCAATTACTAAGTTAGTAAATGAATTATTAAATTAGTTTTTGTATGGCTTTGTATATGCATCTATCACCTTTATTTCACATGTTTCAAAATCACTATGATTATAATGACAGCCTTTCTCATGTGAAAAACCTTGTTAGTTATAGCAAAATCAATCAGAATACTACACCTTGCACATAAAATATTGGCAGCAGGGGTACGTACTGGTAAGCAAACACCACCACCAATATAAGTGCAAATAGAACTGCATAGTACTGAAAAACAAGATTGTCATAGGTAACAACTATGTAAATTGAAAATGAAAAAGCAATTAATACTCGCGTTAAATAAGGGAGAAAAAAATATAAATATCTATAATTGGGAAAATCGACGACGTACCCTGTATCTGCTTTCAGCTTTCAATTTGTTCAATTTTTCACGCCAAGTAGCGAGGCAACTCCAAATCGCAGCAAGTCTTCCACAGAGACGAGGAAAAGATAGTGTGATTTGTCGACTAAGAGGCAAAGTTATTCGAAGTTCGTTAGTTCGAATTCATAGCTAGGGCATTTGTTTATGTCATTAAAAGTGGAACATATATAAATAACACATCTAATTTGGATAAGCCGTTCGCATGTTATAAACAGTCCTTTGCCGGAATATCAAAACAATACAACACAAATTTAAATTTAGGGATTTAGGTAGCAAAAAAAACAATTCGAAAATTTGAAGCTTCCATGTTCCATAAATAGTACCAACCTGTCTTCATCAGTAAGTGCATTAAATCCACCTGTATCATTGAGAAAACCGTAAAAATTATTATTAATTGGATCCAAGTTTTATGGAAATGAAGACCATCCAAATCGTTCTCAGATAGATTCAAATCGTTTGGGCTACTGTAACGCAGTTTTATGACGTACCTTGTACACACTGCCACACCTTGCATCTGATATCTTCCATCAGAAGTGATGACGCCATTATTATTATAAGCAGCAGTACCAAACGGAATTTCCCACTTGCCATGATCCTGTGGAGCGACATGACACTCGATCAGCGCATCGCAACGACAAATAATTCTTTCCTCACCTTTCAACTCACCCGACAAGAATTGTCATCGCAATAAAATAGCTCAACGAATGCGTTGGTTTTTGCCACAAAAGAACGCTCTGAATGTATTGCCATCTGTTTTCCACAGGCCTCAAAAGTTTTCTAACGCGTTCGTAATACTCTTGATTGTCAGGATTCTCAGATCCCGGTGAATTTTCTGTGGAATCCCCCTTGACATTTTCGGTCGCCATATTGTTGTGATATAAACTTCTGCCTTTTGATTATTTTAACACACAAACGTGACGTCATGGTAAACATTCTTGACTCGGCCCAGGCTTTTCTTGTAGGTTTTTTCTCTTTCCTCTTTCATTAGAGGCAACAAACTGGAACGCCAATGAACTTTGATGATTGTTTCTTAGCCAGTATTTCCTTCCGCTAGAGCTTTGCTAAAAAAAATCAATAAAAATTTTTTCCAATCCTGACCATTCCCTTTGGCGTTGTGGAAGGGATTGTATGGCCATACAGATGATTATCAAATTAACTGCGTTCTTGTTCATTTTACTTCAGAGTATTTCTTATTTTTTGACCAAAATCATTAGGGAATTACTTATCTTCAGGAAAGGTGGTCTCTCACTTTGCACGCTTGAAAACGAGGGGAGATATGATTCTCGTCCAATCAGACACTGCACATCTTCAAAAACTCTTGATTATAACCGAGCGAATTCCTTTCCAAAATCAGCTGATAGCTGCGACAGAGAAAGCACTATGAAAGAGGTCGACCAAAGAGGTCAGGACAGCAACCGCTATGGCCACTTCCGGTTATTGCTTGTGAAGGAATTTCCGGTTATGCAACGGCATTGTGGGTAGTTTCCTCAAGGGAAATGAGTGAAGCCGAGTTGCCTGAGAGGTGAGTATTTTTAATCCCTTGACTTTTTTCTGTTTACAATTTTGGCCAATATAGAGAGTAGCTTGAAAATATGAGACTCCGTGGTTTTTTCGAAGTACACTGTTCTGTTTGGTTCGATTCGTGAAGGGATTGTGTTGCTACCGTTCTTTCATTAATCTGAAATATATGACGGGAGGTGAAAGTTTACTCTAAATATTGCGAGAGAGAATGAGCTCAAAATTTCCCTCTCGGAAGAAAAATAATCGACAACCTCGCCTGTTGCAGGCCTTGAGAGATTTTACAGCGGCAGATACATGCTACAGTGATGGCGCAAATCCTCTGTCTTTTCAAATAGGTGAAATCTTCACATTTCTGAGTCGCCGCGATAACTACTGGGTCAATGTCGAGAGAACGGTTTGGAGACACAATCCGCTGCTTAAGACGAAGGAATACTTGACTGTCGAGCGTGGTATTGTGCCGGTGGCCTATATTATTGAGATGGACATTAAAGAGAACGAAGGAATGTCTTCACACAAAGAAGAAGAATGCCCGGTTCCCAACGGTGATCATGACGAAGCAAGTCATGTCAACATTTTTAAGGTACTCACGTTTTTGCGTTCTGAAGTTCATGCGATCGACTTTTGGAGGCGCATTTTTCGCATGTTTCTTTTGCGATAATTATTGCTTAACTAATGCATAAAGGGCAGAAGCTAAGTTGACCGTCAAAATAATTTCAATTATTTCAATACGGATTCCCCAAATGGGTCGGTTTCTAAAACGGATGTGCAAAACATTCGACCTCGTGTAAGGATTTCGTATCTGTTCGTTCATGAATAACTTAGAAACGATTTTTATTCCTCATGATAGATCTTGCCGAGAGATAATATAATTTCAATACAGATAAGATAACACTAGACTAGAACTTCCCAATCTAGTTGAAGTTTGATGTCTCCACGAAATGTTTGCCATGAATTAATTGAAAAAGGTGATCCTAAATTCACAGGTAATGAATTAGTAATAAACCATTGTGAACCTGACTTTGATATTTTACTTGATTCCTTTATTTATATGAAGACATGTAAACTTTTGATATATTAGATGTAAACATTACTGAGCATCTCCCC